TAACTTAAATACACCTCACATCTTTTTTTGATAAGATGCCTACTTGTATTTATCGAGATCATCTCGTTGTCTGTAACTTTTATTAATAGTCTAGCTTTATACTTTTTTCCGGCTCCATCTATTTTCATTTTTCTATTAAAAATTCATTTAACCTAGTGGTTTGCATTTCGAAGGAAGATCTACCAACTTTCATAGTTATGCTTTTGTAAAACGTGGTCTATTTTTCTTTTGAATTAATAGTCTCTTTCCATTGAGATCCTTTTGAATAGTTCACAACTTATTGGAGGTTTTGAGTTTTACTTTCCAACATATAAGATAAAAATTAGGACCAAAAGATTTTTCTAACCTTAATCTTTTGTTATGCCTTAGTTCAATTTCTAGTCTTTGGTTTTGACCATTATCAATTATAATTTCATGTGTTTGTTTAGATGAGGTTACTTCTTTCTTGTATCTATAATAAAAAAAAAATTCTTCAAAGAGCAAAGCATTCTCAATTCACTATTGCATTTTTTGTATGAAATTTTAGACTCGTGCATGAGCAATTGCTAAATACTATTGTTATGTACATAGCATATGAAAATGCAATCAACAGTTTTCAAACCCAATCACCCTTTTTGGTATAAATATGACCACTTTAACAAGATACCCCCACAATCTTAAGTATATATAGGAAGGATTCTTTCCTTTCCATAACTCGTAGAGGCCTCTCTCTATCTATCTCTTTCCTTACAGGACACTTTATTTAAAATGTAATTAACTAACAACATAACTTCCTCCCACATATTTTGAGGCAAATTAAAGCTTATTAATATTGAATTAATTATATCTTTTAAAATACTCTTTTTTGCATCCATCAATTCCATTTTATTATGAGGAATAAGTTGTGGTCTCATGTATGATTTTTTGTTGTACACAGAATTCAGCAAAATGAGCTTTACAGTCACCTTCTCGATCATTTCTTAACACCTCAATTTTCTTATTGAATTGATTCCCAACTTCATGCTTATAAAGAACAATATTCTCAATGACTTTGTCTTTACTTCTAAGCAAATGTATATAACAATATTTTGTGCTATCTTCAACAAAAGGAATGAAGCATTTGTTTGGGCGAACTAGACGTAACCATACCATTTTTCCATTTTTTTCACTCAACCGACCATTCCTCTGCTCTTCTTCATCTTCTTTCCTTTCTTTCCAGAAATAAAAAAAATTAAATTATAATTTGCTCAATTGTACGTGCTATTATTATGGGATCATCAGTTCCTTGGATATCGAATTACATTCTAGGTATTTTTATTCTATTCTTTTAAGTATAATCTAAAATAAAATAGATTGTATACAACTAATAAACTTTTCTTTTTAATAATTGAAACTAGCATTGCAAGTTTTGGTATACATGAGGTTCATTCTTCTTCTTCCTTGAAATCAAATCGAAATCGAGTTGAAGACTATTGGTTTATATAAGTTTCTTTTTATTTATCTTTTTCGTTTTGTGAGTTATTTTATTTTATTTTTTGGTGAATTAATGGAAGTTTGGAGAATTTATTATTTTAGTTTGATTTGGATTGGCGGAAAAGTCTAGATTTTAAAATGATGAATTTGACTCAAAATAAATGCAGTTGAGCAAAGCTCCATCCATCAAGAGAAGGAGCTCTTTGCTGCACGGAGCAATAGTTAAAGAGTTTATTTGATTTTTGATTTGATATTTCAAAATTTCATGTCTAAATATGTTTAAATTATTCAATATCACAAACAGCATATGAATTTTATGTTCTGGAGAAGATGATGGCATCTGGATTAGTCTATTTGTTCATGTTTAGTCCCCCATCCAAGATGTACTTTGAGGAAACCTCCAATAATGGATGGAGGTTTTGGAGAATGGTTCAGTTTTCTCTATCTTGGATTTTATTTTTCGTTTTTCTTTTTTCTATTTTAATTTGATTTTTTCATGTTATAAATAATTTTTTGGATTTAAGATTCTTTTTAATTCTTTTCTTTCCATGATAAAACTTAATTTTTTAATTTTAATTAAATAATATTTATATATTCTTTATTTAATTTTTGTAACATTCTTTTGTTTAATTTGTTTTGTTTTTATTATATATTTTTTGAAATTTTTTTTAAAATTTCTTTTTTCTTCATATTATAAATATTTTTTTTCAATTTAAAATTCTTTTAATTATTTTTGTTTTATGATAAAATGTAATTTTATAAATTTTAATTAAAAAATAATATTTATTTTTATTTTCAATTATTTCAATTTAATTAAAAAACTTTATAATAATCTTTTTTTTTTTCTATTTTTACCTGCTTCATCAAGTTTAAGATTTTTATTTTTATTTTTTTAGGTTAAGATAAAATCTCCATCATCTGGAAAAACCTTCCATCCATCATGGATGGAGGTTTGGGGTTCTCCTGAATTTTATTTTTTGTTTTTGTTTTTATTTTTCTTTTTTAATTTGTTTTGTTCATGTTATAAATAATTTTTTCGATTTAAAATTATTTTTAATTCCTTTTCTCTCCATGATAAAATTTAATTTTTTTAATCTTAATTAAATAATCTTTATATATTCTTTATTTAATTTTCGTAACTTTCTTTTGTTAATTTTTTTATTATATATTTTTTGAAAATTATTTTAAAATTTCTTTTCTTTTTTCATATTATAAACATTCTTTTTCCTATTTAAATTTCTTTTAATTATTTCGTTTTATGATATAATGCAATTTTTTCAATTTTAATTAAAAAATAATATTTATTTTATATTTTTAATTATTTAAATTTAATTAAAAATCTTTATAATCATTTTTTTTCTATTTTTGCTTGCAATTCTTGTTTTTGTTCTTTAATTTTTTAAATCATTTAGTTTCTTTTGTTTATTAGTATTGGATTAGATGAAGTGAAGTGGTGTGTGAAAATTGAGAAATATTGTAGTGGAGGTGATGGTTGCAATGAACTCTGGTATGTGAAGATGGAGAAATGATTGAAGACAACACGACGTCGTTTTTACTCTCACGATGAAAAAAATTGACATTCTTTTTAATTATTTTATATTTATGATAAAAAAAATATTTTTTTTTTCAATATCTACAAAATTAGGTCTTTAGAAGAAGATTGATACATGAAATTGCATTTAACATTTTAAACCATAATTTACAATTCTACAGTGTCTGTCAACATGAAAAATCATTTTTAATGCAAAGTGTAGATATTGTTATGTTGCATATCTTGGTGATATTTCATTATTATAATCATAGTATGAATTAGGGGCAAAGTTTGAATGTGTTAAATTATATTTTAAGATGAGTTAATACATATAGAGAAGTATATTCCGCATAAAAAAATTTCCCACAAACTTTTGCACCGGGAAATTCCTGGTACAAAATATATGCAAATTTTTAAATGTTCATATGAAAAATAAAAAATATATAGAGAAAATTGATGAAAAATAAGTCAATTTCAACGAATTTATGAATATCTTTCAAATTTATAAAAGAAATTTTCTAAAATTTACGTGCGCTTATTTTAAACATTAACCAATTAACGTGCAAAGCACGTTCACTCACTAATCTTTTCAAAATTCTAAGTTTCTTCAAATAAAGTGAATTATCCATGCAAAACCACCTTACCTAACAGATAACACCACCCACTCTACTTCACTTCACACAACCCATACCCCAAAAAAACCAGACTTTAATGGAAAAAAATTGTTGCTTGCCTTCACTCTTACCATCGTTGATGACAGTGTAGTAGCCACCATCATCACATGACTGGAGAGACGAGCTCCTAGGTTACACGAGTATAATGACATTGGAGTGGCAACCTAAACCTGGGTCGCAAAAAAAGAGGACGACGCATCTATGGTGGCCCACAACGGTACCTCAACATGAGTACAATGCCAAATTTGTGGTGATCGATACATCTATCTGGAACATGGCCATTGTGATGCTACATACGGCAGGTGGTAGTGGGTTGTAAGATCTATGGTTGTCCATGATGGCACACCTGCTTGAAATAAGGTTGTTGTGACAGTGCGTTGTAGGTAGTGGTGGTGGAGGATTTGAGGTGTAGATAGAGATGACAATTCGGCTCGTCGGCTCAGACCACCCGTGGCTCGGGTCAAGCTCCATTTTGGGAGAACGGCTCGCGTTGGAGCTGGCCCGCATGCCTTATTAAAAAAAATGCTGCCTTAAAAGGCAGTCAGCTGTGGCTGTCTTAAAGTTGGTTGTTTCCTTATTTATATATAAAAAAAAAAAGAAAAAAAAAGAAGCATAAAAAAGCAAGCACGTCCGATTTGGCTCAGAAAGGCCCAAGTCGAAAGTTAGGGTCGAGCCTAATTTTTTTGGCCAAACTTTTACTCAGCTCGGTTTGGGCCCAGAAAAAAGCTCGGACATTTTACCCGAGCCGAGCCGAGTTCGAGCCTTGAGTTTCAGCTCAACTTGTTGACATCCCTAGGTGCAAATGAAGTTCGATGGTTGTAGATGAGGCGGTAATGGTGGTGCGATGAAGATGGAGGTGGTGATGATGGTGATTTGTGGATTTGAGTTAGTAACATCTATTTAGGTGGTGCAAGGTATGGTTACGTGGAGGAAGGATAAGATGTCGATTGGTTGTGATCGGGTAACTGTAATCGGTAAATTGAATAATTATGACTAATAAATAATTTATAATCTAATAAAAAAAATGATTAGTAACTAAATATTTAATTGTGTCTGTGATATTATTTGATTTGTGACTAGTATGTTATTGTAATTATAAATTGTGACCGTAACCTATTAATTAAATTGTAAGTTACAATATTTTGTCAGATGTCACAAAATGTGGCCACCTAATCATTGAAATTTTTTATTTTTGAAAATATATTTTAAAATCTTTGTAATTATCCAATGCTCTATTGTGAACAATGGAAAATATGCACTTACGGGATTGGGGATCAAAGCCCGGGCCAATAAGAGAAGCCCAGTAGTCCGCCCAAGTCAACGTTTATGCTCAACAGTCCTCTACATACCGGTCTATAAGTACTTTTGTGTCCGGTTCAGATTGAAAATAATAATATTCCGACAGCAATGGAACAACAAGAAATAGACGTCGCCGCCGGTGTCTCAAAGTCGGTGGCGTTGATAGCGTGCACTGCCATGTCAGTGTTTTACGTCGCAATACTCTATTTTCCCGCGTTGATTCTTCGATTGCCCCCGCCTTCTTCCTTCAAATCGTTTCTGATTCGACGGTTCGTATGCGCTGCCATTTCCTCCATAGTTTCACTCGTTGCCTGCTCTCTCATTCTCCCCGTAAGTCCCTTTGATAAATCTGTCTGTTTATTTTCGGTTTATATTAATAGTTTTACTGTTTACGAAGTGAAAAGTATCGAACTCTTTTTGTAAATATGAGATGCTGCAAAAGTGATGTTGATCGGGTAATTATATCTGATTCAATGTCTTAAACATGACAAACAACTAATTGACTTCCGATTTACTTCCTTTTTGCTTGGATTATCTATTGCTACTTGAATAAGCAATGCTTGGCTGCACCGTAAGCAGGCAAACACTACCATGCCATAGCATGCAATCTTTTCCCTCTTCTCCTCAAGATAAACATTTTATCATTAAAGCTTCATCTATACTTTTCAGAGGAATTATGCCATAGGAACCTCAAACTTAAAAAGATTTAAAGTCTGCCTTTTGCCTTCAAAATGAACAGTTCAAGTACTTATTTTGGACTTGAAAGTTAATTGTAATGAACATATGCAGCAGTTTTGCTAAAAGGGGTTTCATTGAGTTTGGGCTTGTCTCTAGAAATGACGTAAAAAGGAGAAGACTCTTTGAAACTAAATGTTTCAGATGACTGCTGTGCACAGTGTTCTCTTCTCTAATTTCCATTTTAACTTAGACTTTAGTATTGAATTGTGTTTAGAATAGCCCACGAACCTTTAAAAACTTCTGGACTATGCAATAATAATAATAATAAATAAAATCAGGGTGAAAAATTGACGCCGTTAAAATGTCTAGAGAAGGTAAGACAATTGATTGCCCACCTCAGTCATCTAATGGTTTTTTCCTTGGGCCGCACACCTTAGTAAGACAAGGCGTAAGCCTTCACATAGTACATTCAAAGCTTAAGTTTTGACACTTTTAAGCTTAATGAAGGTCTCAAATCTCAAGTGAGGCATGCTTAAGATGTATTCCACAATCACTTTTTTAACAATGATATATAGTATATTGAATAATGAATATGTTTGAAGATCCCACAACATTGGAACTATGCACCATGAAAGATCTCAAGCCCGTTGTAGGCATTCATATATGCATTCAACTAATTATTTGAACAGATCAGGTTCTTTATGACCAACCACTGCACTCTTGCTAAAAGTGTTCCATTTAATATGGGCGTGTCTTTAGTTATAGGTCCCAACCAAATAAAAAAAGAAAGGGCGAAAAGGACAAATATCTAGTTATCTACTTAGAAATTTTCAATCCTTATCCTGATTATAAATACCATGCAGTCAATGAGATGATATTTCCTATTCTCGGAGCTCTCTTGATTTAAATTGTACCATTATCAATTAATTAGATAATGTAAAGGCCTATTCTATATAAAATGTTTAGGTTCTTATTCTTCACAAACTTGATCTAATACCCCGATTTAGAAGATTCTTATGTCTTGAGGTTACCGTGGTCTCTTTCAAATTGTTAAGCAATCTATAACTTTTTCTCATCAGTATTTGCATTCCAGAATATTTTTTAGAAATCCTAAAGATGCATAAAGTTTCTATTATATGCTTTGTTATCCCGTTGATCCAACATCTGTGTACAATTCTTTTCATTCTCATATGCCGTAATATATATCCTATTTGTCATGCATTAATAATCTTGATACTTCACATATGAGTTATTGGTCTGTTCATCCTTTGCCTTGGGTTTCCTGTGTCGTGAATAGAGATTTCTACTTGAATTTCCAGTCATTTCTTCATTTATGACAGATAAGGAGGTGGGATGTGGCAAATCTATTTGGTGTTTTTGGCTTCAGATTGGATCATATAGTAAGTATTTTACTTGAATTATTATTTAATATTAACACGAACAAATGTGTTTTGGTGTTATAGTATCTATTTATATTCTTTTATGGTTGCAGATAGGAAAAGGTGACTGATAGCTCAAATGCAATTTTATGTATGAAACAGTGGCAAGCTTTGGTCTTCCCTCTTTCATTGACTTCCTTAATGTACACTGGGTCCTTTGTCTCGAAGCTTCTATTAGCACACAGCACATGCAGTGAGCATTGGAATAATGGTGGAAATCTATCGGTTGACTGTATAAAGGGCATCCTTCAACAGTTCATCTGTTGTATTCTTTCTATGGCTTCCAATGTCTCTTGTTGGCGCAACTATTTTGTGGTCAGTATCTAAAGGAAATACTTATTCCACCACGTTTTCTCTGTTAACTCGCTTTTCCACTCTTGTATATTCTAGGAGAGATGATCTGGCTTTTTGTATTTTTCTCTATTCTTATTTCTTTCTGGAATTATGAATATAAGTAAATTAATTTCTCCTGTCTTATTGTCAAACTCTTTAGATGAGGTTATTCAACATGGTACCAAAGTAGGTAAAAGATTTTAAATTCAAGTGTCAGTGCCACCTATGTATGTAAATTCCAAATGCTAGGCCTTCGAAGAAAAAGGGGATGTTTTCGAAGGTATAACTTTAAATAAATAATTTCTCCTCTATCTAAAAACTTGAGATGTTAGAAGAGGTGGTTCAATGTACCTCTCTTGATGCAATTGATGATGATTTTATTGTTTTCCTTCACAGCTTAATGAAAGATGAACTATGTTCCTTGATGTGTAATTACTTACAACTGGTAGCCGGCAATGACTCTAGATACATATAAAGCATGTCTGATGAAAGTCTCAAACTAAGTGCATGGCATATTAAATTAAATTGTTGATCGTGGAAAAGAATTGCAAAATGATAAAAGATTGTTTCTAAATTAGGAACTTGTATTCTTTTATCAAATAAAAAAAAGTTAATGCTGTGGGTTTCCAGTGTGCCAATTTTTAAAAGCATAACATGAATCAACAATCATGATGCTGTGGTAAATGAAGTTTTGAATTAACAAGGAGAGAACTATTAATATGAGTCAAACTCGTTCGAAATCTTTAGATCAGTTAATCGTCATACCAGTCAGTTGAGTTCAAGAAGTAAATAAATGAATGCCTTTTCTAAGTACTTCCCCAACATGAATTCTACAAATGGCTAGAATTCTGATATTGTTATAAGTCATACCAAATTTCTCCCGGCATTTATAGTTTTAGTATCTGGAATTCCATTTTTAAAATGCATTACTATTATATTTATCCTTGTTTTTCTTTTTGCAGGCTCCACTTACGGAGGAGTTGGTTTTTAGAGCTTGTATGATATCTTTGCTTCTTTGTGGAGGATTCAGTACATACACTGTCATATTTCTCTGTCCTGTTTTCTTCAGTTTAGGTGAGATGATAAAATTATGCAGATTATTGGTACCTTGTCTGAGATTGTGATTCATTCTTTCATCGGTCCTAAGAAATATGGCATTAGTAAGGATAAGTGTTTGAGAGTGAGCAAATGAACCAACACCACTCACGCACACTCGCTCATGTATACGCAAAAAAGAAGAAGAATATTCGAATGAAGAAAATGAGGTGGTCCCCACAAAGATGCTTGATTCTCTTTGCTCAAACTTTAGGCATGTCATTCTTCCTAATTTGGGAATACTTGTCTGATATTCCCACGCAAGGCTGTAGATATAGGATTTTTTAGGAGTTAAAAAAATGGAATATAAGAAATACTAAGAAACTACCCACTTATAACATTTAGAAGTTACTGAGAACAATGTGATATCTTCTTTTTCTCAGATCAGGTTTAAAAGTAACAAAAAGTCGAGGTGTAAATGCGACAATTAAGTTCAAATAAACAATCTGGAGACAAGTCCTTCTAATCACTATGCATAATTTATTTTTTTATTTTTATTTTTATTTTTATTTTTTTCATTTGAAAAGTTCATATGTCCAACAGCTATCTGAATAGCATTCTTTGTAAATCAACTCTGTCTAATCACTATGAAGACAAGTCCGTCTGATCACTATGCTTCTTTATTTATTTATTTATTTATTATTATTATTATTATTATTTTTTCATTTGAAAAGTTCGTATGCCAACTGCTATTTGAATAACATTCTTTGTCAAATCAACTCCATTGTAAAAATTGTAACCCATAGTATGCACTAATATGTATTATGTTTAGTACTTTTTACTGCAATGATGGTAACGTGGGACAACAAAACATGGAAGTCTTTGTGATTAAAAAGTATGTTTTTGGACCTTTTCTTGCAGCTCATTTGAACCATCTGCTGGAGTTCTACCTCCAAAAAAACTGCAGTTTCCTCAAAGCATGTACTGTTGTAGGTATGATTCTCTCTCATATTTTACTGGATGCAATGCAAAAAATCTCGAATCAGCTGGCCAAATGATAAATTGGATAAAATTTCATTAAATTGTTTTTGTGATGAAGATAAATGGTTGAAGAAGTGGTATAACTGCTATAAATGTTTGAGTCTGGGGGATGTTAGAGACCAGATAGTATGATGATCATAATGAAATGTAATTTTAAAGTGCCTGAGGTTAAACACAATATATAGGGCTAATTCCAAGTATTTGGGGTCGGGACAATGCTATACAATGTTTTCTGTTGTAACATTGGTGTTTGAATATTATCCTTTCTGTTGCCATAACCACAGATTAAGATTCTATTCAGAAAGAGAATTTTTTTGTTACAAACTATATGCCTTGTGATGTTCAGGTTTCCAGCTTGGATACACTGTCATCTTCGGGTGGTATGCATCATTTCTCTTTGTTCGAACAGGTGGGTGCTCTTTCGTTTGCTTCATATTTCGGATGGGCCATCATTGTTAACATGAGTAACTGAGTATCGAAGTTCAAATGTATTTTCAATACATAAACAGGATATTTTTAATCTGCTCTACTGAAAATTGCAGTAACAAAATATAAATCATAAGAATTGGCTCCAAGTCATAATGCTCTTTAGTATATAGTCCTGAAATTGGAGTTCTGAGTTTAGAACTGCTAATCTGACACTTCCTCAAAAGACATGCATATTTGCATAATTGTTGATAAAGAAAATATAGGGAAAATAATGTATAAATGAAGGCGAGAAGTTGGAATAAATAATTTATAGCATGAATTTTTGAAACTATTGTCCTTGTATGTTTTTTTTTTTTTTTTTTTTTTTTTTTCCCCCCCGGAT